GTCTTGAGAGGGGCCTCACGAAATCCCAGGTAGGGGGATGGGTATAGTGCAATTAAGGGAAGCTCACCACCATGTGGAGGCAGGATCCAGGGGCTCTCAGGTAGTCGCCTGTGTTCTCAGTCCCTCTGCCAGAGGGAGGCCAGAATTTGGCACTCTCTGATATTTCTTGTATTATAAAATATTCTTAGTGATATCAAAACACTTTTAAATAAACAGGCTACTCATCATCCTTCATAATTCAGTTCAGTGCAGCTAATTAACTGTAAGGATTCCCAAATGGGAACACAAATGGTTCAGAAGGAGGAGGAACCAGGGGCGTAGAGAGCTGGCTGGAGGGAAAAGACTAGAGAAGGTCTGTGCTCCTCTTCCACTTTCAGTTTTCCCCATTCTTTAACTACCCTGTCCTGCTCCTTGACCTGACAGATACAAGCTCAGGCTGGTGGGAGTGGCTAGAAGGGGAGAAATGGAAATATCCCCTCTTCTTTCTTCACCTGTCCTGGCTTCCTGCAGTTCCATCTCTCAGCTGTAGTTCTTTCTCCATATTCCCTTCTGTCCTCTAACTTCTTCCCAAAATACCTTCTCTGCTTTTTTATGAGCTGTGTTTCCTTCCTTCCTTTCCTTCTCTCCCTCCCTCCCTACTTCCTTCTTCCTTTCTTTGTGTGTGTGTGTGTGTGTGTGTGTGTGTGTGTGTGTGTGTACATATTCATGTTTGTTTGTGTGAGTGTGGGCATGTGTGTGCAGAAGTCAGAGGACAACCTCAGGTGTTGGTCCTGGCACTCTACCTTGTTTTGAAGCAGTCTCTTGTGTTTGCCACTGTGTATGACCGTAAGCTTATGGGGGTTCTCATGTCTCTACCTCCTGTCTCCCCACAAAAGTGCTAGGATTATAGACACAAGCTTCAGCAACTGACTTTATGTGGGTTCTGGGGATTTGAACTCAGGTTCTCACTCTTGCACAGCAAACACTTTACTCACTGAGTTGTCTCCCCGGTGCCCTTTCTTTCTTTTGAGACCGGAACTCATTCTGTAGCCCAGGCTGGTCTTGAACTCATCCTAATCTTGTCTCAGACCCCTGAGTGCTGGGACTACAGGGCTGGGCCCCCATGTCCAGCATCCAATCATTTCTTGCTTTGCATCATTTCTACCTCTACATGTCTTTCACATTGTCTCCACTTTCCATCCCTGACCATCGCCTGTGTTCATACCTTACCATCTCTCACCAACAATCCAGATGATTCTCCTGCCTCTACTATTACACCTTCCATCATTTTTCATCCAGTAAGACGAATCTGATCCCTTTACTTTCCTAATTGAGGACCCCAATGCTGTAAAGATTGAATCTAAACTCCTTTTTCTTGGCTCTGTGGGCCTCTCCAGCCCATCTTCTTGCTGCTGCTCCATCCATTTCATCTGAATCTTTTCTTCCTGAACTCTCAATGGTTTGGGAAGGCCTTCTTCAGGCCTTCTTGGTATGCATCTCTCACTTACCATCTTCAGTTGCTTTCTTCCTTGTCTCCTATCAGACTGTGAGCACTTTGAATATAGACACCAGGTCTTTAATTAAGGCTACTTACATAGCCAGTTTGAGGCTCAGTGACAATTAGAGAGAGGCAGTGCTGGAACAGGCAAAGAGTGGCTTGGGGTGGGAAACAAGCAGCACATGTCAGAGGACACTTTAGAGCAGCCCCACCTGATCACTGGTAAGGAATGAGGGCTAAATCAGGTTCAAGTAAGCCAGAACTTACCAGAAGTCTTGTCTTAAAAGATCGCAACACAAAAGCTTAGTGCCATAGCCTGATACTTCAGTCATACAAGTTTCATTGGAAATGTGTGCTAAATATTATAATTTGCTTAAAAATTTTTTGTCGTGCAATTTTTGTTAGAAAAATTTCACATGATACTTTTAAAACCCAATACCTATATATAACATAGATATTATTTATAAAATATATATATATATCTCTATGAAATGTACATTCTGAGACAAACCCTGCTGTCAGTGATGACCATGAAGTCCAAATTAAGATTCTCTTTGCATTGATGGAATCTCTTTCAATTTATAAACCATTTTCTTCTAGTCATACTTTTAAACATAACACTTTAGGGGATGGAGACATGGCTCAGTAGTTAAGAGCATTGGATGCTCTTGTAGAGGACCTGGGTTTGATTTCCAGCACCCACATGGTGGCTACCAACCATTTGTAACTCCAATTCTGGGGGAATTTGACCTCCTCTTCTTACCTCTGTGGGCATTGCATGACATGGTACACTTATAAACATGCAGGCAATACACTCATACACATGAAATAAAAAATAATGAATATTTTAAAAAATAACACTTTTGAGCTGGTTGAGGTGGTGCATACGCATAATCCCAATACTTGGGAGGTAGAGGCAAGAGGATTGCCACAAGTTCAAGTTCAGCCAGCTCTATATAGCCAGTTCCAGACTAGCCAGGGATACATAACGAGACATCATCTAAAAATAAAAACAAAAGTAAAAAATAATGTAGTTTACTAAATCAACAAAATTAATCTCAGATTCCTAGGAACATAAGGTTTGCCAGAGAATTTCCTTCACTGGGAGTTAGAGGTGGCCATGTATTAACTATCCCTTAGGCCACAAGGGAAACACTGATTTACTAATTATAAACTAGCTATTCTCCACCTGCCCTACCCCTCATCCAAACCTGATGGCCAGAAGGCAGCAACAACAAAATTGATTGAGGTCTACATCAATATGCAATTTAACATAGGTTTAAAAAGAGAACTACAAAGTGTTCTACTTCTGGCTTTAGTACAATAAATATTTTAAAAATACTGCAAACAAATGCTTTGTCCTTTCTTTTGATGAAGAAGAAGTCAGGAGATAAGGAGGAATGAGGAAGGGGAGAGGATTGGGACTGAAATGATAGTGGACAAGCTACAGATCAACTCAGTGTGCAACTCAGCATGCAAGTGGAAAGGCCAAGAAAGACTTGAGCAGGTAGGAAGGCTGAAGTTCCATTTTGCTGGTTAATTGAATTTGAGGCATGAGATAGATGAGAAAGAGGTTGGAAGAAAGAACAGAGAGGATAGAAGGTGGCATCCCAGCTGAAGGAGAAGAATGGGGCTAGCCCCGACTCTGTTTTGAACGTTTGCAGGACCTGTAGAAGGACAAGGTAGAGGCTGGAGGCAGTTTCAAGGCAGGAAATGCAACATTCAGAATCAGGGACTTGGACATGACAATGGCTGTAAGAGCATCAGGAATGAGGTGGTTGGTGGAGACCGGAGATATCAAAAGTGAATGAATATTGAAGATTATCTTCACTGAAATACTGTAGTGAGGCTTTTGTTTTTGTTTTTGTTTTTGTTTTAGGTAAAGGCAATCAATGAGATATTGAACTATCTGGTAATATATTGGTTTGGCATTTTTGATCCATTGACCAAAATGCTATTTCTAATTTGGTTTATCACTGTGCTTTGCTTCAGTGGTGAATTATCTCACAAAATACACAGAATCAAATGTACCATTGGCACTTATCAAACAACACTCACGTTTCTATGCTATACATTAATAATGCAAAAGTTTTGTCGAAAGCCAAATGGTGAACTTTTGCCGTTCCCCACGTAAAATTGGTTGTTCTTGCCAATTGATTAGAAAGTGATATATAGTTATTATTTAATTTATTTTTTGAGACAGGCTTTTGCTTTGTATCCCAGGCTAGACTTGAACTCACTATGTAGCCCAGACTGGCTTCGAACTCTTAAAAATCCTCCTGCCTCAGCCTCCTAAGTGCAGAGATTACAGGCATAAACCACCACTTCCTACCTGAGTGTTGAATTGCTAAACTTTAACCAATGGGCTCAAATTCTGCTCAGATCTTTCACTGGGAAGATCAGAAAGTTGATTTAAGAAATCTTTTCCCTGAGTTTTTTAGGTGTGCAGATAATAGTTTCAGTAGATGACGCCACGTTTACATTATTAGGCAACAAACTCATTCAAGGATGGGAATGCTGACAAAGCTTTTTTCAAAATTCTTCATGACACAAGTTTCTCTTAAAAGGTAATATATCCACATTGATAATTAGTCCATGCTATTAAGATTTGTGTAAACACAGACTAGGTTGTTCACAGAATGATGCAATCATACAGCAATGCATTTCTCAGACTCAATATAATATAGTAGATTGTCTTACAATAAACATTCTTTTTTTAAACAAAAAAGTAATAAATCAACATATTATTCATTGGATGGCTTCAGTTCAAACTTGATTAGATTGTTTGGCAGTTGATTGAATATGAGGTGCAAAAATAAAAAGAATATGAAGAATGTAGAAATTTCTTCTGATGGTGGCTGATGGCAGAAGTTTCTGGAATGTCAGTTCAGTCAGTTCACATTCCTTTGACTGAGATTATTAGTAGTATCTTCAATCATGATCACCTTTGTAGAGATTTACAAAATCATTTGTCCATGTTTTGTGGATTAGTTTACTTAAAATTCAGTATTATAATACACAAATCCACGAAGAGTACAGTATGTAGTAATACACTGAAAGCAAATAAATGAGAGATCATAAAGTGCAACCAATTCATTATGTGACTCTTGGTCTTCCCCTGAGAATTATGTGTGCCTGATGTGAGACAGATGGAGTGGGGCAGCAGTGCTTTTCTATATAGGAAGTAAACCTTTTGAATGGGTTTACAAATGCTAGGGAAGTATAATTTCTTGTTGCTTGCTGAACATGCAGTTTCTTAAGTCCCAGAGCTTCTGATTCACTAAATTGGGATGGGCTCCTATGATCTGCAGCTTTAAAAAGTCCCCAGATGTTTCTGACACAAGTAGTCCCCAAACTACATTCTGACAAAGCTATTTCAATATTTCAAAGTGATTCAGTTCAATTTTATGAGACACATAGTCAGCACTTTCCCTGTTTCCTAAGAAATAAAACTCAGTTCTCCCCTAGACATCATCTTCCAACAAATGAGATCTCATTAACAACTAATAGTTTTCTTTTCTTATATCAGATGGATAATGTGTTGACATAGTAACAACGTTTGTGGGAGGCATATGTCATGAAATAACGTGAACACTCAATCATCACACTTATCAACCAAGAAAGTTTTCTTTTCTTATCCCTGATGCCCATTCAGGACTATGTTTTCAAGAAAGATATCTGATATATTTCTGAGTGTCTACAAGGGATGGGTACTATCTCCTTCTTCACTTGGAAACTCTTGCTACTGCTACAATTCCTGGTGTCCATATCCAGGATGGATATCAAGAATATTATGATCCTTGCAAAGATGCTACCTTCCAAACATCCCTCTCTTAGGTTGGATTCCCTGGAACTAGAGGCATAGCTGTAAGCAGGTATAAAAGGCAGACTGAGCAGACAGAGGCCAAAAGTTCAGCTAGCCCCATACCCAAATTTGAAGGGAGGATGACCTTTCAGTATTGCACCATACTGTACCATGCTGGCTGCTCCTTTGCATTTGGGCCCTAACCTGGTATTAGGTAGAAAATTTTCTCCAGGAAGGAGGGCCATGGACAGCAAGGTCCTGTGAGGGACACAGCTATGAGCCATCAGCAGCCAGTGTTTCCAGCATCTCAGGGATGGCTGAGGGCTCTAAAGAAGGTATCTGCTCTAGTTTCATTTCTGTTGCTGTGATAAAATACCCTGAGAAAAAGCAGCTTAGGGGAGAAAGGATATGTTTTAGTTATAGTTTCAAGTTTCAGCCCATCATTATGGGGAAGTCAAGGTGACAAAAGCTTGAGGCAGCTAGGTGCATCACACCCACAGTCAAGAGCAGAGACAAATGAATGCATGCATGCTTAGTACTCGGCCCACCTTCTTCACTCTTATGTAGCCTAGGGCATGAAGGCACCCAAAGTAGGCTGGGTCTTCCCATACCAGTTAATATTAGTAATCAAGACAATCCCCCACAGACATAATCACAGGCTAACCTGATCTAGACAATCCCTCATTGAGACTCTTTTCCGGGGTGATTCTAGACTGTATCAAGTTGATAATTGAAACTAACCATCAGAGTATCCTAGCATAACACTTCAGTGGACACTACTACTGTCTGTACCACTCTTACCCATGGTCTTTCATTAATTGATTCACCTGAAAAGAGATTCTCCAGGATTCTGGATGATCCTGGTTCCTGAGAAATATGTAAGAAAAGGTTACCAGGAAGGACTTACAGGCCTACTGCTGCAAGGTGAGCTGGATGCTGCAATTGACACTCGATATCCACCTGTTCCTTTACCCTTCTAGAGCTCCCTTAGGCCCAGCTAGTATCTATGCTGGTCTAAGTGGCTTTTCTAACACACTGACCCAGAACCTCACTTCTGCAGAGCCATAGCCCCTGGTTACCATTTCCAGATTGTTAATTTGCCATTAAAACAAGGTAAGTGGAATTGAAGGGATGCTCCCATGCATACCTAACACCAAGCATATACCCCCAGCCCCAGGAGTGTTGCAGAAACTATAGTGCCATGCCTGCTTGCCAATGGTTGGGATCTATGATCTGCCTTCCTGCAGCTCAGTGAGAGGGGACCTTGACAGAATACATCACAGCACTCCCAAGGCCAGAGGAGCTTCAAGAGGCTATGGAATGCACTAAAGAAGTGATAGTGGCCAGACACAGTGGCTCACACATATAATCTCAGCCCTCAGGGAAGAGGAAAAAAGGGTCACCATGAATTCAAGGCCAGCCTGGGCTAGAGTGAGACCTTTTCTCTGTTATGGAGTTTGAAACCACTGGGAAAAAACCACCAGACCCAATTCAAATTTTAGTTGATCAAATTTATTAGGGCTATAGCCATCCGTGGTCCCTTAGTCAGATTCAGGACCCACCGCCCTGAGGGGAGGGTAAAACTAACTTATAAAGGTAAAACTCACAAATACCATAGTAATTTCATCACACATGAGTAGTGGCAGGTGGTCCTGAGTAGGGTCAGGATGGTCCAAGTTAGGAGATAAGCAAACTACAGAAGCCAAAACAAGCTTGTGTTAGTCCTTCTCTTAACAGATGTATAGAGACCTTGACAGTAAGGCACTTTCTGATTACCATTGTTATTTAGGCTTCTTGGCTAGGCAAGAAGCACAGCTGCAGTGTCTGTGAGGTGACCAAGGTCAGCTGCTCCAAAGAAGCAACTAAGTTCAGATGCTTATCCTTGAAGCTGGCTGTTTTTCTAGCTTTTGAAGTTTAAAGTGGCTGCTTTATACAAAATGAAGTTACTTTGGCTATTACAATTTGGGGGACTCCATTTGAGGCCATTACATCTCAAAAAACCAAAAATGAACTAAAAATGTACTTTTGTATTTATTTTTGCTTATTTAAAGAAAATCCTAGACCAAAAGGAAATAATTTGGTGAACTATTTTTGGTCTGTCTTGTCCTGATATCTCAAGTCTTTTCCATCAGGAAAATCAAAGTACTTCTTTGATCCTGAATACTTGTCCAATACCTTCCTCTTCTACTTTTATTGTTCAAATCTTCAAAAGAATAGTCCACATCAGAATTTTCCAAAGCATCTGAGGAGTAGTTCAATAGTATCAAATTTTTTTTTATGATAAAGGCCTTCGGGAATTTTAATTATAAATAATTGCTATGCTTTACTTATAACTTACATAAATCAGGATTATACTAAAGGCTTGTGGTGGTTTGAATGAAAATGTCCCCCATAGGCTCCAAGTGTTTGGACATTTTGTCCCCAGATGATGGCGCTGTTTTGGGAGGTTTTAGAAGGTGTTGCTATCCTGGAGGAAGCATGTCACTGGGGATGGGCTTAGAAAGTTGTTAAGCCTTGCCAGATGTCCAGTCGCCCTCTTGCTTCCTGTGCCTGTGTGATGATGTGAGAGCTTCACTTATGCTGCTCCTGCTCTAGCCACCTCCAGCCACCATGCCCCCCCTGCCATGATGGACTGTAATTCCCCTGGAACCCTAAGCTCAAATAAACTCTTCTTTCTATAAGTTGCTCGGCTCAGTGTTTCTATCACAGCAACAGAAAAGTGACTAATACAGGGCTTCAAAGTATTATCTATTTTATTTAGGAATTCAATCATTCAACAAGCATTTACTCTGTAGCTCAGGCCATCAAACTTGTGATCCTCCTGCCTCGGCCTCCCAAATAGCTGGGTCATAGGTCTGTGCCACTAGGTCACACTCAACAAATACTTACTGAGTTCCTACTCTGCAGAAGTTACTGTGATAGGTGCTGGGAATTTAACACAATTCAAACCCCACAAAGATATAGTTTCCACTCTCATGGAATATGTGATTCATACTTTAGTTGGAAGACAGCTGCTATTCAACTAATCTCACAAAGGCAAAATTGTAGCAGTGTTTAATATTATAAAGCAGTGCACACACACACACACATACACACATATAATAAGACAACTGGGAAATTGTATTAGAAAAGTTGTGGATGACTTTCCTGGGGATTGGAAGTTGTTCTGGTGTAAGGATAATGACTATGAGATGGATATGTGTCACATATATAAATATATGATAAATATGTAATTTTTAAAAACCTCATAGCCCAGAAATGCGAATACATTATATTCACATTATGACTAAACTTCTAACAGTTAAAGATGAAGAAAAAAATCTTAGATAAAAATTTAAAAGGTAGTTCACTATGTAACTGTTTCACTTTCTTCTCTCTCTCTCTCTCTCTCTCTTTCTCTCTCTCTCTCTCACACACACACACACACACAATGAAAAGGGCAAAGCTGACTTCTGATCAGCTGGAGTCTAGGAGATGGTAAAGATGACATCTTTAGAGGGCTGAATACAAAAGGTTAAAGTAGAACTATATTTGAAAATGTCTTTCAGAAAGGCAGAAGATACTCATTTTTTTCTGTTATAGACAAATTGAGAAATTCATTACTAGCAGATTTGCACTGCAAGAAATGCTAAGTGCAATTCTTCATGCTGAAGAAAACTATTAACAGATGGAAAAGCAGATCTTTACAATGAAATGTAACACACTGAATGTGGTACATATAAACGAGTATATTTCTTTCTTCAAAAGAATTTTTTTGGAGACAGGGTCTTGCTAAGGAGCCCAGGACAACCTGGAATTCACTGTCCTTGTACCTCCACTTTCTGAGTGCAGTGAGTAAGCCATTATGTCTGGCTTCTTAAAATTTTTAAGCAAAGGGATGGTTCTGGATTGTATGTTGGTCCCTTTGGAACCACCATTGCCCTACAGGGTCACATTTCTTGAAGTCCCTCTTGCTGTGTGGCTCTAGGTTAGGGTTGGCTGGAAGAAGAATTCTGGATTGCAGACAGAAAGCAGAAGCCATTTCTCTTAAAGACTCTGGTGACCAGACATACTGAAGGGTAGGATGCAGGGACTTAGAAAGCTTCACTTTGTTCTCATTCTCCTGTTCTGTGCCCAGCTTGTCTTCCCACCTACTGGTCCTGCTGGCCAGTCTTGACCTGGTACCCAGTACCAAGACCTCAACTATGGGTCCCCAGAGCATCTAGGAGATTGTGAGAAAATCTTCAACTGCTCCTATGCTTTATCTTTTCTATTTTTATTTCTACATCAACTGACTTCTCATTATGGCCTTTTATGATCCCATTTTCTTTCAAATGATCTACTTTACTTTTGGCTTCATTGACTCGATGCCCTCTTGGTTGTGCCTCTTATGCTGCTTTCCAGCCCCCTGATTTCACTTGCCTGTCCTAAACTTGTGCTCTGTGGGACTCTGCCCTAGGTTCTCTGGCCTGTATACTCTCAGAATGATCTCCTTCATTAGTTCAACAAATAGAAACTGGAACTGTTCAATCCAAAGGAAATTCAGAGTTTCAAGACACTGATCTTGCCTTAGTGAGTCCAAAGTCTATCAGAAGAGACAGGTAATCAGAAGATTGCTTATAATATAGTAGAGTGAGAGATTAGGGAAGGCAAGATTATGATGGGACCTATTAATGGAGGAGTTTTTAATTAATATTAAGGGTAAGTTGAAAGAAATCAAAGATTTCATGCAATAAATAACACTAGATTTGCATACTAGCAAGATCACCCTGGAAATGATGTGGAGAAGAGGTTGGAAGGGAAATCATCAGGGTGCTCCTGCAGCAAACTAACAAGTCCTGAC